TTTTATTATATTCTTTTCAGAAACTTATAAGTCAGACAGATTAAAAATTGGTAAATATATCTAAGGTCTAAACACAATTAATAAACATAAGCTTGATCTAATACATAAACATTGAGAAGTAGTAAGGCAGTCTAACACAGTGAATTAAGAGATAAATTTTTACCTCAGATATTGTTGTGTTTTGCTGTAAAATGTGTTTGGTTCTTTCTAAATATTTCTCCATTATCTTTCCATTCATTACAACATATTTTCCTTTACCTTGTTGAGCATAGTTATAATAGCTATTCCAAAGTTCTTGTGTGATCATTCTAACATCTATGTTATCTCAGGATTGGTTTTCATTAATTGTCCTTTCTTTTGAGAAGGACTTCATTCTTCTGGTTCCTCCCATACTAATTAATTTTGAATTGTATCCTGGACATTGTGACTGATATGTTCTGGAGAATGTGGATTCTGTTTTACTCCACAGAATTGTGTTGATGTTTTTGTTGTGGTAGGTGATTAACTTGGTTCAATCCAAACTGCAAACCACATCACCTGTGGTTATAAGTAACTCAAATCTCAGTTGAGTTCCTCTAATTTTAGCTGCAAACTGTATTGTCTCCCCATAGAGGTGTTTCAGGGGTCAGCGAGAGACTTGAGCAAAGTTCATACTCAGAATTTGGGGCATGACCTTCTCTGTTTCTCTTTGCTCTGGGATATTCCCCTCCTTCCAGTGACTGTGCTTGCTGCAGACTGCTTTCAGGTTGTTCAAGTAAAAAATAAAAAAGTGGATTTCTATTATGTTTTAACTACTCTTTGCTTCTTCCTGAATTGCCCTCAGGCTAACACATCAAAAACAGGAAACTTGTCTCCTTTTAATGACTTCTTGTTCCAAGTTTCATCTTTCCTCCAAAATTTGCCTGCTTTTGTTCACTCTACTTAGCCTTCAGGAAGTTGTTTTTGGGATTCGGTTCAAAGTAGATAATTGCCATCTGAAGGAGAGTCACGAGCTCCTTGATCATATATAAAGCAGAAGTCTTTTTTGTTTTACTTTTTAAAAATTTATTTATTCCTCACTCATACTCTCGTTCCCCTTTTCCATAGGTATCCATTCCTCATAGACTTTCAGTTCTTATTCAACATATGTATTCAGGTATATATGTGGCCTTGAAAAATATATGCTGATGAGTTCATATGTGTATTTACCTTAATTCACATAAGTAGTTTCTTCATTTTTAATTCAAAATTGCTTTTTAAAATTCAGTCATGTTACTATGTCAATCTAATTCAAAATGTCAGAGAGCTACATGTTTTTCACTGTATAAATACACAAAGTCTAATTTATCTGTTCTCCTAAATAAATTGCATCCATCGCTTTCCTAATATACCTAAATAAAAAGAAAACATTTTTATACATTTTCAATTTATGTCCTTTTCATTCTTTCTATTGAGTTTACTGACATGTTATTTCTTATTTTTAGAGTAACTTCTATATTTTAGATAATAATTTCTTATTAGTTTTAGAGGTTGCCAATATGTTCTCTGATTCTGCTTTTGTTAACTTTGTCTATGATGTCATTTATTAAATAAAACTTTTGGCCGGTCATGGTGGCTCAAGCCTGTAATCCCAGCACTTTGGGTGGCCAAGATGAAGGGATTGCCTGGGTGCGTGGGTTTGAGAACAGCCTGGACAACTTGGCGAGAACTCATCTCTACACACACACACACAAAAAAAATAGCCAGGCGTGGTAGCACACACCTGTAGTTCCGGCTACTTAGAAGACTGAGGCAGAAGGATCACCTGAGCCCAGCAAGTCAACACTGGGGTGGCCATGAGCGTGCCACTACACTCCAGCCTGGGCAACAGAGTGAGACTGCAACTAAAAAAAAAAAAAAAAGTAAAATAAATAAATAAAACGTTTAATTTGGAAATAATTGAATGTATAAACACTTTTTTGTAGTTTGTGTTGTGAGGGTCTTATTTAAAAAATATTCCTGATCTGAGGTCATAAAAACTATGAATTTCTTTATACTGCATCTTAGTTATAATATTCTTATTTAAGCCTTTAATTCATTTGCACCTTCTGTATGCTGTATGCAGTAGAAACCTTTGAAATTTATTTTCAATACAATGAAACTATTTTCCTGATACAATTTACTAAGTATAGTTTTCTGATTTCTGTTGTTATCACTAACCTATAATAAACTTCAAATCTGTTACTAAAGTATCCACCTACTTCATTGGTTTATTTGATTGATTTTGCACTTGTACAATGCTAGGGTTAGTATGTTTTTAAAATGGTTTCTATTTATAGACTATTATCTTCCACAACATTTTAGAATCAGTATATCAGTCTCCCTCTCCCTTCTCTTGAGAATTTAATTAGAAATATAGAAAGTTTTTAAAATTATTTTGAGGAAGAATTAACAATTTTATAATATGTAGCTTTACTATATTTCAAAGTGCTATCGCTTTTCATTCATTCAGGCCTTTTTAAAAAGTCCTTAAAAGAGTTTTCAGAATGTCTTCATCATGTCCAGAGCTTAATTTATATTTTATTTTCTAGTAATTATTACTGGTATAGATTCATGGATTTGATTTTATAATTTTATTTTGTACTTGGCTCCTTGCTGACTCTCATAATGCTAATAATTTGCTAGCTCTGGATTTCTTTGTAGACAATCACAATAGCTACAAAAAAATTTTTAAAAGGAAGAAACGTCTGTCTCTTTCCTTACAATTCTTATACTTTAAACTTTTTTGTTTGTTTTATTTGATTATTCAGTACTTCTAACATTATGTTGAACATTAGTTCAGTTAATAGTGGCTCACCTCCTTGTCTTCTTCTTGACTTTGAAAGTATTTAAGATGTTCTGCTTATTGAACTTCTGTGCTAAATAGATGTTGAAATACATCAAATGCTCTTGTGGCAATGGCAATCCTTATCAGGTAAGTTTGGCAACAATGAAAAATCATGCAATTTTGTCTTTAATCCTTTAAGATATAAGTTATACTGAAAGATTTTTCTCTCTGGAGCCATCTTTACAATTCTAAATTTACCCATAATCAACCATGACAAATACACACACACACACATACACACACACACACACACACACACACACACACTCTCTCTCTATATCTATTTATCTAATCTATCAACACATGTATATACACAAATATGGAAAGAGACAATTTATATTTTGATTGTTTATTTTTTAAACTTTTTATTTTAAAGATGTGGGGTACAATTTAGGATTAGGTATACAAATATTCATTATTTAGGTGCCTTTGTTGATGAGGTATGCCCCCTTCCCTGGCAGTTTCTCACTACTGCCAATCCCGCCCCTACCCTTCCCTGGCAATTTCCTACTACTGCCAAGAGAGAGAAAATTTAAAAGCCATGTCTATGAGTAAAATAGTCTTATACTTTTCTTGTATTGTGCTTATTGGGTTTTAGCATAAAACACATTCCCATCTCATAAAAGTAATTGCACAGTTTTTCCTCATTATATAAGTTAGAGATATCTTACTCACCAATGAAAACATCTTAGCGTGTGACTTTTGGAGGTGGAAAGATGGAAAAAGAGTTTATCATTTTGATGCCTATATTGTTATTATCATTATTTTTATATATTGTATGGCTATTCTTTATCCCATTTTCTAATCTCTACTGTACAAATTAAGGGTTTTTTAAATACTTTCCAAAGATACATAAAAATACATCTCTCTGTTTCGTGATTGGCTTTGCCAAGGAATTGTCTTTTGGTTTTGCCAACATTACTTCAAAAATTCAACTTGGGTTCTGTTTATCTTTGTTTTTAATATTTCATTTCATAACTCTTTCACTTTGTTACCAGTCACAGAGTTTTATTGACTGATGCCAGGGTGCAGCACAGTCTGGACATGCATATTTTTTTAAAGCTTTACCTAGGTTCTAAGGCATGAGATGGTTGACAACCACTGTCCTAAAACCATTGTTCTCAAACCTATCTGATCATAGATTACCTATAAGACTTTTGGAAAGCATATACTTTTGGAAAACATATTTAGTGATTTTGACTCAGTTGATCTGCACCGATACCTGAGAATCCACATTTTTAGAAAATTTTGGCAGCTGTTTCTGACTATTAGCAGGCTTGGAAATCACTGAATTTGAGTACTCACAAAAAACTGTGTAGTACTAAAAGTATAAGTGATCTCTAAGACTGCAGTAATTTCTAAATTCAAAGTTAACAGATGTGTAGGTGGTTTGGGAAATTTTGTGGTGTTGGCCAGCAATCCAGGAAGAGGAGAAATATTAGTAAAGAGTAAGAGCTGAAAGAAAGGAAAGTCAGCTCCTTAAATAAACGTAGTCCTTTCAAAACAGTGAGTGCAAAAGAGGGAGTGGCAAGAACTATAAAGTTAAAAATAGGCCACAGTATAAAGCCATATTAAGAATGGACTTTACTCCAACAGTTATGAGAAGCGATTGAAGGGGCTTAAGCAGGGAGGTAACACAGAATGTTGCTTTAAAAGGATTTGATTTAGCTACAGTGGAGGAAATTAAATGGAGGGAAAGCAGAACTGTCTTCCTGAAGTCTGAAGACAGTCTATAATCCTTGAGGTAACTACTATAATCCAGGAGATAAATGACGGTAGCTTGAACTATGATACAGTTGGAGAAGAAATGACCGTTAGACACAGGTAAAAGATATATAGAGGGAAAACTAATAGAAAATTAGTTGTTGGATGTAAGGTGTACAGGAAAAGGAAGAATAAGTGTACTGACATCAATTTATTAGCCTTAAGTATTCTCTGAGCTACATATTTTGGATTTAATAAATTTATCTATAACTGCTTGCACATTCCCTAAAATATTGAGGTAAAAATGTAAATGTCTACATTCTATTCAAAGTCGCTGGAGAGTTTAAATAATACTAATGATAATATGGAAATAAATACTCAAATTCATAACAAGTAAAAATGACTAGGAACTGGTTCATTTCATAGTATGTCACACTCCCTGTCATTTCAGCTTTGGTCTGCTCTCAACGTATCTGTCTCCCTCCATTACTGGAACGTCCCCAGGAGGTCCTTATTCCCTAAAGTACCACTGATTCCACTAAAGTCACCAACTGAGTCTGAGCTGAGAATAAAGGAAATCATTGAGAAACTAGACCAGCGGATCCCGCCCAGACCTTTCACCCACGTGAAAACCACCACCAGTGCTGCACACAGCACAGTCTCCATCCTCAACCCCCGAGAAACATACTGCAGGGGGGACCAGCTGGACATCCTGCTGGAAGTGAGGGACCACCTGGGACGCAAGAAGCAATATGGTGGAGATTTCCTGAGGGCCAGGATGTCCTCTCCAGCCCTAAAGGCTGGCGCTTCAGGAAAGGTGACTGACTTCAATAATGGCTCCTACCTTGTCAGTTTCACTCTGTTCTGGGAGGGCCAGGTCTCCCTGTCTCTGCTACTCATCCACCCCAGTGAAGGGGCGTCAGCTCTCTGGAGGGCGAGGAACCAAGGCTATGATAAAATTATTTTCAAAGGTAAATTTGTGAATGGCACCTCCCATGTCTTCACCGAATGTAGCCTAACTTCACACTCAAGCACTGAACTGTGTGACTATCTGAATGACAGAGACCAAGGAGCCTTCTACTGTGTGAAACCTCAACACATGCCCTGTGAGGCCCTGACCCACATGACCACCAGGAATCGAGACATTTCTTACCTTACTGTCAAGGAAAAAAGCCTTTTCAACAGGTAGGCATAATTTTCAACATGGTGAGAGGGGCCCCCAGACAGTGCTGCATTGCTAAATTGCCCTTCTGAATACTGAGTATGACCCTCCCAGATAACTCCTCTACTCAACGTCAGCCATGTGGTGTCTTCACAGGGCCTCCTGTTCTTGATGCTGTGCCAAAGTTTGCATTTTCACCAAAATATTCAGTAGAAGAGGGCCGCACAAGGTGGAAGTCTCTAATATATATGGCTGTTCTTCTCCACAATGGCCGGTAGTACCTGATTCAGTCATGTCTTGTCCTATAGACTGAAGTCTTACAAAATATGTTCTGTGGAAAATTATTCCACTATGTGTTCATAGGTGTTCCTCTGAAAAAAGATTCCTTCATAAGTATAACACCCATGCTCCTTCACCTCCCACATCATATTTCTTTGGTTCTGTCCCTTAAGTATCTTCTGCATTTATCCATTTCTCTCCATGCCTAGTGCTGTTATCCAAGTTCAATCTACTATCATCTCATCTGTAATAGCCTCCCGACTGGTCTCCCCACTGTCAGTCATATCCTCTCTAAGCCACTTCCTACACTGCAGCCTGAATAATCTTTTTTTTTTTTTTGAGTTGCAGTCTCACTCTGTCACCCAGGCTGGAGTGCAGTGGCACGCTCACGGCCACCGCAGCCTCGACCTGCTGGGCTCAGGTGATCCTTCCGCCTCAGCCTTCCAAGTAGCTGGAACTACAGGCACACACTACCCTGCCTGGCTAATTTTTTGATCTATTGTAGAGCCGAGATGTCACCAAGTTGCCCAGGCTGGTCTCGAACCCATGGGCTCAGGCAATCCCTCTCACCTTGGCCTCCCAAAGTACTGGGATTATAGGTCTGAGCCATTGCGCCCGGCCTGAATAATCTTTCTAAAAAACCAACTCCCATTAGTCATCTCCAGCTGATCTCACGATCAGATATTCCTCAGTGTATGCAGCTCAGGGTGGAGTCCTCCTCCCTACTCCCCAAGTTCATAGCTGCATCAATGCCATGCCTTTCTCTCCCTCTCCTCTCACTTCCTGGTTTCCCTGTTCTCCAGTGAACTGGGAAACTCTTCATTGGTTAGAATGAACCATCAGGATCTCCTCATGGGCCACTTGAAGGATTTGCAAAGGGTAACTATCTACCACTACAGATCCCAGAACTGTGAGCCAAACCCTGAGACATCTAGCAGTTCCAGAGTCTTTGCCTCAGGGGCTCGATCCATTTCCTTTTCTCATTCTATTCTGCAATATCTTTTTCTTTTTCTTTTTTTTTTTCCCCCTGAAGATTTAATTTCCCTAAGCTGGTGAGAGTAGAATGCTAGGTTCTCAGCAATCCCTTTCTTTGTTGTTTTCAAAGTCAAGTTTCGAGTCTCCTTTTCTGTAAGCTTTTGTTGTTGTTGTTGGCTTTGTTTGGTTTTTTTTAGAAACAGTGTCTCACTCTGTCATTCAGTCTGGCATGCAGCAGGGCAATCATTGCTCACTCTAACCTCAAACTCTTGAATTCAAGTGATCCTCCTGTCCCAGCCTCCAAAGTAGCTGAGACTACAGGTGTACACCACCACACAGCTAGTTTACTAATTTTTTTTTATAGAGACGGTCTCTGTATGTTGCCCAGGCTGGTCTCCAGGCTTCAATTGATCCTCCAACCTCAACCTCTCAAAGTGCTGGGATTACAGGCATGAGCCACCATGCTCTGCCTCCATAAACTTTCAAAATATATGCTCAGAGGAAGTAAGACTGGACACCAGACAAGAAAAAGTAACAAGTATTCCAGAATCTTACCTCATTATTTGAGTTTTGGTTCCTGATCTACAGTCCCTAACTCCCTTTTGCATTAATTAAAAGCACAGCTGAGGGCTGGGCACAGAGGCTCACAGTAATCCCAGCACTTTGGGAGCCCAGGAACTCAAGACCAGCCAGGGAAACACATTGAGACCTTATCTCTCTCTCTCTCTCTC